ATTTTTCTACGAATCCAAATCACTTGAAATTTTAAGCGTGTGTTCATTAAAAATAGGTGAAGCTTCGAAACATATCAAAAAAACATTTTACATGAAATAAATTGACCAAAATACCCCCGAAAAGTTTCGGGGGGTAGTTTGGTCATTTTGTTTTTGCGGATATTTTTTTTTATATTTTTATTAGGTGCGCCTTGATGAGAAGAACACACACCTAAAATTTCAAGTGATTTAGATTAAGAAAAAAAAAAAAATTCAAACACTATCGGACATCCGTGATCCTCAGATCAGCTCAGATTCAATTTGGGCCGTTGGGCTCATATGTTCATATGAGCTAGTGGGTTAACCTCAGCGTTTTCCATATATATATATATATATTGATATTTGTTTTATCACCGCTCATTTTTCTTTTTAGTGGGGCCACCATTTTTTCAAATCCATCTTAAAGTTAGATGTTTGATGTGTTGGGTGGCACAGTTGTTGAACTGCATCCCTTGACGCATCAAATACTTTTCCTTTATGTTTTGTGCCTTAATGTTTTGTTATTTTGTTTTTTGAGAAAATTTGTAATTATTTTGCTGAAGAAAACTAATCTATTTTTTATGACTCTGATTGTCGATGGTGAAAATTTCATAATTTCTTCTTGATATGGGTTATTAGTTTTCCTCTTTTTTTTTTTCTCTTTGGCTAATATGGAAAATATGTGGCTTTGGCAAAAGGGTTGTAAAGGAATTTTGATTTGTCTTGGCATTGGACTGTCAATGCAAGTTTATGGAGCACCTACATTTGGATTGCAGGTTTCATAGAACAGTTAGTTAATCACTGAGGGATGTACACTTGTGTCATGAAACAGGTATAGCTCTATTTCATAATAAAACAGTAAGATCTCTCTTAGAGTTTGTGTTTAGCAGAAATTTCCTTTTTGAGTGCTTTGGACTTTTGTGATGTGTCGCTCCCCTTGTCTAAATTTATGTGCGGTGTTCTTCTTTTGTCACAAATAGTTTCATTCGCCCATTTTTTCCTTGTTTCTTAATAAAGTGATAATGAAGTCTAATACGATTCATCGGCTTGAAAGAGAATTTTTTTTGATAAATTGGTGCACTAATCGTCACATTGGAGCTGTCTAGCTTACCCATAGAAGTGCTCTTCCGTATGAAGCTGACAAATGAAAGGCAGTTCTACAGATATTGTAGCTATTAAGTTAGTGATCCCCGCTCGGTGAGTCCTTCCTTCCACGATGTCTGTTGGCACCACTCCTACATTTTGTCTCTGTGGGCCGAGGAGAAAGGGGGGGCTCAGTGGGAAGAGGATTGTACCATGAGAGAACAAGGAGGTCAACCTGATTAAAATATATAATTTGGATACTGGCAATGCAATGTGGTTGGACTCTCATGTCAATCCGAATGAATCAGTCTTTCCACGGACCGCAGAGGTAAATCTTTGCCTGCTAGGCAAGAGGATAGCAAGTTACAAATTCTGTCTCGGTAGAACATATTTTTTATTATATCAAGTAGTTAACGGTGGGGTTACCATCATCCTTTTTGTTGTGACGAATCTTGTATGTGTTCCTAAGAAAAGGAGTGAGTCAATATTTCGAGGTCTCAAAAGTGCGTGGAAACACATAAGAACTCTTGAATGGAAATGGAAAGGAGATGTAGCTCCAGTTCCTCGGGAAACGCTGTATTCATCTTCTTCATTTGGTTGAGAAACATCTCTTTGCTGTTTCCTACTCCTGGACACTAATCCACCCCTGGAGACCAGCCTTGATTAATGCTTGTAAGTGCAGTTCTTCATTTGACACTTAAGCATAGGTTTATCCACCACTTATCTTCCCTGCATGCACTTGAGGATTCTTTTGGCAGGGTGTACATGAGGTTTGTGTGTGAGCTATACGTTGGTTGACACAACTGGTTAATTGCAATTTGTGATGTTTGTTGTCAGATAAGAGGAATCATCAACCATTCTCTAGTGGAAAACTAGATGTGGGTTGGGATTTCCCCTTACATTTAATTTCTTATTTGTATTGCTTTGTAAATAAAGCTTTGCTAGTTGTCATGTCTCATGCCACATTTGGAAAGATATGTTGCATGCTCATGCCTAGACATCACAACTCGATGAGAAGAGATTGCATTTACATCACGAATATAGTTCAATTTGTTTTGAATTTTCTTTTAACTACAATCTTCACATCTAAAACATTTTTCGGCTTTCTTTCTATAATGAAGTTATCATTTGCATGGAGCAAATTGATCGCATTTGGTTTGTTAGATTTTTTAGTGGATAATGGCTAATTTACTGCTGTATTATTTTTCTTATATTCTCCATGTTTGAGAATATAAGAAAAGTATGTAGGCCCATTTGTTCATTTTCTGGAGTCTGAAGCACTCAGTTTTAATAAGGTGCATCATTTTTCTTTTCTTGAAATTTCAGTGGAATTCTTTTTGGATGGTTTTGCAGAAGTTACTTCTCTACCAATGGTTGGAGGAGTGCTTGAAACGTGGGGAAAAGGCATCTGATGATTCTTATTTTATTAACCTTGAAAATGTGAAAACATATCATCCAACCGATAAGAAGCTTGATCCAACCAAAGAAGACGTTTCAAATGATCAGGAATCTAAAAGTTCCAAAAAAATCAAAGTGCGTAATGAGGATTCAAAAGGTTCATCTGCAATTATGAACAAGGACACCTGGATAACAGCTGAGTTTTCTGGTGGCAATGTAGCATTGGAACGTCAAGTTGACAAAGTTCATCAGCCACTGGAAAAACCAAAAATTGGAACTGATTCTTCCAATTCCTTGTTATTGCAATCAAATTCTGAGGCTGCATATACGAGTACTGGAGAAGCACATCTTACAAATAAGGAGGTAATTTCCAAAGCATATCTATTTATTTTCTCATTTATCATTTTAATTTGGTCATAAATGTATCCTACTTTCGTTGTAACTGTTATTTATTATTCTTATCATGTCAATGGGTCCTTGAATAAAACAATATTGGGCTTCTCTTTGTACATGTTTTGTTCCTTTGTGAGTCTCTGGATTCTATTTCAGAAACTTCTTTTTTGAGAAAGAATTCAAGGTGACTGTAGACATGCTTTTCTTCCGTATACTGCATGGAGTAACTGTAACATTAGTTTTTCATATCCTGATTAGTGGTTTGCAGTTATCCTCAGCATACAAGCCACCAGATTTGAACAAGAATATTACAGAGATATTTGGGAGGCTTATTAATATTTATAGAGGTAATGAGTATGTTGTTATTGTTCTTATATTCAAGATTTCCTGTTCATTATTCGCAAAAATACTATGTTTCAAATTTATTCAATTGACGATGAATCATTGTGTATGAAATTGGAGCTCTCGGAGATGATAGGAGGTCATTCAGCTACTATAAGGCTATTCCTGTAATTGAACAATTGCCATTCAAAATTGAAAGTGGTGACCAGGTTAAACATCTCCCAGCCATTGGAAAGTCATTGCAGGACCATGTAGGTGGCCAGTTCTTGCTTTTGTATATGGATTTGGAAACATGCTATATATCTTTTACTCTGAGCAGTGTTTTATTTCAGTTTGAATCTTCATTGTCGGTAATATTTGTTTGAATTGAATTTTATGTATGTGAGAAATTCTTATAAATAGTATGCGCACGAGAGTCATGGTAGGATAATAATCTCGCAACTGGTAGCTTACTCTGCAGTCTGGCTTACTTGACTCTTGACTTTCTTTAATTTCATCATCAGTATAGTATTTATTGATGTCAACATAATTAGGTTGCTGTCAAATTGGAATATTCTCTTTATTCTGTAATCTTTAAAATTACGAAGAAACATCTAACGTTATTTATTTATTTTTGGTATTTTCTTTGCTGATAATCAATGTGATTAAATATGGAAAGGGAAAAGAGAGAGGAGGAATGTCCAGCCCTTCAATAAGGCAAATTCCCTCCAATAAGAAACTAATAGGGCGCAAACGAGAAAATAGTTAACATCAAAGCCTTTGGAACTTCACAGTTTCTGACTTTGATGGTCTTCTATAAGCTCAGCCTAGTAAGAAGTATGTAGGGGCCTTATATGGTCCTATGTTCTATATAATGATTGGGTCTTGTCAACCCCCCTACAAAATGAATTCAATGTCTTGAGACTAGCATTTAAAGAACGATTCGAAGAATTCGATGCTTTCCCATGTAGATACTCAAACAGATGGCATGTGCAATATGGATATAAGTTACTGCCCTTCTTAAACTGGATAATCAAAGGATATGAGCATTATCCAAAGATTACTATTCATGTCTTGGAGACTACCTTTTTTTCTTGCCGTAGTAAGATGCAATTGACATTCAAACTCATTATGAGGTAGATTATAGATCTGTGGGTCTGGATTTTTCTATTTGACCGTGAAATTCAGATTATATTTATCATGACTCTTCACGGATATGCATAATGCATCAAATGTAGTTTCCTTTGTTCGGATGAAGCACATTGGAGTATATTGTCATTCTATTTGAGAGAGGCTCTTAGCTAGTGTTATTTCTCTTCCATAACTTCTTTATAAAATTTGGTTGGAGCTTCCTCACAATGTTAGTTATTAGTTATCCTTGCTGAATAAATTGGATTGAAGGTTGATCCGAGGAAAATGGAAGCCCTTTTATCCTATTTGGTTGAACCACCGGTTTGACTGGTGGAAAAATTAAATATTAAAGAATGGAATGAAGATTTTATTGATGCAAAACAAGACGGCCCGTATTTCTAAAATTATTCTATTAAACTTTCAAGGGTCTATTTTTGGGGCCTCTATGTTTTTATTCTATTAAGATTAGTTAGAGATGTTATTGTCTTTTAGTATTATTTATTTTTGTGTGTGTCTGTGTCTCTGTGTGTGTTTCTAGGGTGGGGCTTATAATTGTTATTATGATTTATGTTTTAGTTAGGAGTTCTGTTTCAATTAGAAAAGGATTTAAGGCATCTATGGTGGGTTTAGTATGTAAACAGAGGTTAGTTTAGGGTTTTTGTCATAGGGATGAATACTATTAATTTGGAGAGCCTGGTTTCACTAGGAACGTTGCAAATTTGTGCGATGGTTACTATAGGAGGTCGCGGCGGCCTGAGTTTGTATTGGTGGTGGCACAATTTCATAGGAGGAATTCAAAGATCTGAAGAGGAGAATTCAAGAGCTGGTGATGTGCACTGACAACATTTGATTCTCCTGATGAAGGTTTGAGGAAGTGGTTCACAAGGTGTAGCTTACTTGTTCTGGGCGACGTTCAGTCGTCCATGACATTGACGGATCTGAATCCAATCTTAATGATGTTAAATTGCTTATTGAAGTTCTGCGGATTTTAATTCAACTCAGAACTAGGGGAGATGTATCTCACTTCATGTGAGGAGAGTGTGGTTCATGATCTTGAAGAGATGAGCTTTGGAGAAACTTTATTATCATCAAATTGTTTCCAAAATCAGAAAATCATAGATTCGGTCTCACCACCAATTCCCAATGAGTGCTTAAATGAAGGAGTTGGTGATCCTATTTTTTCTGAAAGTTGGGACTGTGAGGGGAACCAGGAAATGTGATCCTATTTTTGATGAAGAGGCTGTTGGCGAGGGAAACTAAGAAACCTTAGGTGAAGAAGATGAAGGCCATCTTGATGGGGTGTGGGGACTAAGAAATTGATGCAGCATAAGATTATGTTATTTTTAGTTTTCATTCTATTTCAAAGGATGTATATTCTATGTTTAGTTTTAGGATTTATTTAGGACTTTCAAGTTTTTAGGGCTTCTAGGATTTGTTTATATTTTATTTAATATTCACTGGTTACAATTTATGACAATATTCATAGTGAAAGGTGGACAATGTGATCTAGCCAAGTATATATAGTGCAAATAATTTTGCTTTATTTTATTTATACTGGCTAGAATACTTACAAGTGTCGAAAACTACAACTTCAGTTCCAAATAAAACTCTAATAAAATATAGGATCACCGCTTGCACGCCATTAAAAAACCTCTTATTCATACAAAAATCAAGATACAATGAGGAAGAGTGAATCATGAAACTTGGAACCATAAAGACAACTTACCTTGGCGAGGGTTACCCCCAAGGACTTATCCTCACACTGGGTTACCTCCATTGATGGCACACGACATTTAGCATCAGCTGTATCTGACAATTTTGGAAGCCTTGGCAAAACAGCTAAAAAACCATGAGAGCATAGCCATGGGAAGGGGTTTTCTCTTACCTTGGTTAGTCTTGGGCTTGCCCTACTTTCTGTCTGGCTTGGGCATGCCCCCATATTTTCTCTACTAACTTAGAGAGAAGATGACAAACAAAGAGAGAGAGTGGCGTGCTAGGCTAGAGAGGAAGAGAGAGATGATCAATACCAAGGTGCAATTAATCTCATTCCCCAGAGGGGGTATTTATAATGCAAAACAAGGGTTTTGGGGTTTGGTATCCTTATGGAGACTTATCTTGACTGTGGATCAAAGGTGACCTGTGGGCTAAAGAGATTTTAGCTATACATTTCTTAGATCAGCCATTGTAATTAAAAGGAATGTGTTAGAACTTTATCCCTTAGTTTCCTTAACCATAATCCCATTAAAATCTAATTTATAGAAAATATGACAATCTGTCATATGATTTTAATTAGTATCATGTAATTTCAATCAAACTCAAATTATACTATTTTTGAAATCAATTAGCTCTTTCTTTATCCAGTCTTCTAGATGCTTCTCTCTCAAAGATTCCACAAGAGAGAGAGAGAGAGAGAGAGAGAGAGAGAGATACAAAGAAGTAGGGCGTGCCACACATATACGCCCTTGTCGGGCCCGTGCTCCATCCATATGGGCTCCACGTGCTCGGGCCCCATACAAAATTTGGCCTTCACACTCT